GCTGTAGCTGCCCATATATATATATATATATATATATATATATATATATATATATACCTACATATAATAAACACAACATATATATGTGGATGGGTGTGTTTGTGTGGTAGAAAGACAGCGATAGCGTGCTGTGTGTGGGTGTGTATGTCCTGCATGTCTGAGAGCACATGAAGGCCAGACTGGGAGAAACAAGTCTGCAGCTGCACACTGTGATGCGGAAACTAAGTGTTGTAAAATCCACAATTTATTCAAACAAATGTTTATTTTAGAAGCAGTGCAATCTCTGCTCTCTGTAGCTACATATTGATCAAATTGAGTTTTCGGCATCAATTTTTACCACATAGGCCATCAAATATGCCATAAAAATGTATAACTTTTGTCAAAACAGCATATAAAAGTGTCAGAGAGAGACAGACAACTAGCGAATGCTAAAGCAGGAGAGGTATATTAACCAAGCAGGGGAGATAGCCGAGGTTAGTCTCAGCTAACAGTTTACTTACGGATTTTTCTTTGGCTGTAATCTGTAAGAGAAAAATAGAAATGATGAACTGACATCCTGATAATTGAGTTTGGTTTTCCAAATAACTAACAATGTAGTTAAATCCAATCAGGATGGAGATAAAAACCCAGCTCACTCTTGCTAGCGGTAACTAGCTGCCATCTCAGCCTCTGACTCATTTTTCATGACTTGGTTCACTTAAGCTACCTTTAAAATCACATATTTAAATCCCTATAATATGACCTGTGAATAATCCAAATAAGTCAAAACAAAATGCACAAGAAATGACTTATTTTGTTTGTAAATACAGTATTTTTTACATTTCTTTGGGACTTTTGTAGGTATCATTCAAAGTCTATAAAAGAGCTTTACCTAATCATCCTAAAAAGGCATTAAATGAAGGGATAACCTTTTCTATCTGTTGGTATAGTGTAGGTCACATCTACCTCACATGGTTTTGATTTACTTTGTGCCTCCCAGGATGACATAAAGAGCAGTAAAATACTAAGAAAGTGCTGTTTGATCGCCTTGCTCCGATCATGACATCCCCGCGCTCTCTTCCAGGAAGGCGCTCTGCTCTTCCAGTGAACTGGAGAGGTCATGGACGGGTTAACATGTTGTACCTTTTCCTGTACACCAAGTGACTCACCAACTGACCTTCTGTCCAATGAAGGCATAATTCAAAAACAGTCTAGAGTATTAGCCACAGGATGGTTTTTATATACCAGTCGGAGGCATTTGACAAACCTTTGACAAACACATTAATTATGTAATAAAGTAACCCTGGAAGGCTGTATTATGCTTTTCTACGAATGAAAGAGGAAAAAAGGATGGATTTTAATTTAGGATTGGCAGAAAGGTTAATGCTCCGTTTACGCTAACTTAGGAGGAATAGAATTTGAATAATGAATTCATTGAGAGTCTTGCCAATAGAATTTGTTTTCTAAAATTGATTTTGCATTGCGTTTACACTCGAGCACATTGCAATTAGTGTTGCTATCAGGCCTGTTGTTAAGATTCAGTTTGACATCTCTTGTCTGTTTGCAGAGGTTTGGCAGTGTCCTGAATCCCAATAACAACCAGTGAAAGTTTGTTAACTAGACAGGGTCCTTCTCCAGCTGCAAGGTCATGTTCTGTTTGCAAGATAAATTTACTTTTTCGGCGAGTTTGTTGAATAGACACACTGAATCAATCTAAAATAGAGAAATATAAAATCTAATAAAACACAAGTTATGAATAGCTTTTGGGGGATTTAATGAAAATGAAAATATCAATCCAACTCACAAGCAGTGTGTTTGCCCTGTTCTAATAAAGCGTTCACAAATCTAGCAGGAACACAGAGATCAGACTCAGTTTAACATTTCTCGAAAAGTGAGACTGCATGAAAATGAAAAATCTTCAGTCCTTAATCGCACCACATTGATTGCGTGGATTATTGAAAACCTTGTGTAGCATTTGCAACAGGCTTTAAAGGATTCTATCGCCGCTCCCCTAAACCCACTTTATAGAAACAGCTCATATTAAGGAGTGTTACAGAATGAATTGATGTATAGAGATATGTGACAGGGTCGGTTATCTCCAATATGTACGTGGAGACGTAGTCCTGTAAGGCTGTGCTGCTGGGTCTTTTCATTACGGCTGGCTATCAGAAGCCATCGCCTAATATACTCAGACAAGTTAGATTTGATTCATAGGCTGCTGGGCTCTATCTATTTCGCCACGGGCCTCTGTCATCCCATAGATATCAGGACTGAGTGGTGATATCAAAAATCTTATAGTGCTTATAAATCACCTGAGAGGATTGAAATGTGGTGTGATGTGAGGATAGATATTTTACAACCGGTTGGATTATGAACGCGGTACTCTACCGTGTATCCAAGTCAGCTTTAGACATTTAGCTTCACTGGAAGTGGTTTGTTTTCATCCTATATGTTTGTGTCGTCTTATTATTTTCTGAGTTGCTAGGACACTACCTGTCTGTCCCGAGGGAGTAGTTATTTCAATGTGGTTTATCCTGGGAAAAAGCGAACTATAGCTCAACATTACACTGAGCAAATTTATGTGAAAAGAGGGAAATATAAGCCTACAGCTATATTAATTCATGTACTGTATACCAAAAGACAAATCATGAATAAGTCACACATTTTAGTCTTTTGATCCATGCCATGATTACAGCATAGTGTATTTATTTATTTGTTTTTGCATACATAATTAGAAAACACATCAAGGAAATATAAAAGTACATGTCAAGATGTGGTAGAAACCCGCAAAGGACATATGAAAACCACAGAAGACATACAGAAAGCACAATACAAACATACAAGAATCGCCAATACATTTTGAATATTAGTGTTGAATAATTTCACATATAAACTCTATGTATGGTGCTTTATAGTATATGGAGAATAGGAGTTTACAGTCAAGTTAGAGCAGTGCTTTGAACTAATGCTAACACCAAAGTATTGGATGAATTTACATTTTGACGTGATGATGCTGCTACAGAAAATATCAAGAGAGCTGTAAAGTTATTAAAAGTATTTTAATTAAAATACCAAAGTACCAGATTTCATAAAAAACAGTTACTGGGACATTGAACTACAAAACCAAAGTCTGTGGTCATGAATATGTGTACAAAATGTCATTGTAATCCATTCAATAGTTGCTGAGTTACTTCTGTCCAAAATAGAGTAACATTACTGTCCTTTTAGCGCTAGTGTTAAGTCAACTGTCTAAACATGTAATATGTTCATTCAGGCCGCATACCAATATGCTTTCAATGCCAAACACAAGCATCACAGTGGCTCTTACTGTATATTAGAGAGCAGACATTTATGAATAATGAAAACTCCATTTCTAAAACTCCGCTCAAATGCCCTCTGAAACCAAATCATAATTAAAGTAGATCCAGGGATAAAAGCTAATAAGACTGCCAAAACTCATATATAACCCTGCTGTGGTGTCTCTCAAACTCTCAGTAAAGGTCACAGAGCATTTTTCTTATCTCTTAGGACGTCTGAGTCATCTTGACAGAACTGGTAAAGGGTCAGCTTGAAGCAGCTACTGCCGGCCCTCACTTCGGACTTTATTGACACTCTGGATGTGGAGCTCTTTTAGAATTCGCTGTAGGCTTTGACTCATCCAATAAATGGCAAACTACTTATTGGATGAGATTTTATTTTTCAAAAACAGCCCTCCTTTGTGCACATGGCTGCGCAGGATGGTTAAATGAACATTTGGTGTACTATTTGCAAAGCCTGTTTTTCTAAATTAATAATCTCAACAGCTGCAGTTGAGCGTAATTGGTCTAACATCCAGATTTTCTGCTA